GTATCATCCCAGAAAACCGGGTAAAATCAGAGTCGTCTTCGACTGCTCTGCTTGCTATAAAGGAACATCACTCAATGGTTCTTGTCGAAATCTACACAATACTCCAATCAGTGTATTGGTCATATCGGGTCCCGTCATGTGTGACGTTCAAAAGATGTTCCACCAATTTCATGTGAACAAAGAAGACAGGGACTATCTAAGGTTCCTTTGGTGGGAAAATGGAGATAATGATACTGATCCCATAGAATGCCGCATGAGGGTTCACCTCTTTGGAGCCGCTTCATCTCTGGGCTGCGCCAATTATGGCATCAAATATGTAGCAGACCTCTTCTCATATCGACATGGAGCAGAAGCAGCCAACTTTATGAAACACAATTTTTACGTTGATGATGTCTCATCTATATCTGAGGCAATTAAATTAATAAAAAATGTAAGAAAGCTATGTGCAGATGGATCACTAAGGCTACACAAGTTCATATCAAATAGCCGTGAAGTAATGGAACAAATTCCAAAATCCGAACAAGCTACCGGAATTAAGGATATAGACCTATCCTGTGATTCACTTCCAGTTAAGAGAGTTGGTGTGCAGTGGTGTGTCGAGTCTGACCAATTTGAATTCCGCATTGTACTCAAGGATCAACCATTAACTCGAAGGGGAATATTATCTACTGTGGCATCAATCTACGACCCTCTTGGATTTCTTGCCCCATTCATTTTAAAGGGACCTAGTAGTAAGCGCAAATGGGACAAATATGGATACTGTCTCTTTTTTGTAATTAGAGAAATACGAAGATTCCACATCATGTCAACGAAAACATAAAGATGAGGTGTTAGTAGCGGAAGCAATAGCAGTGTCAAAACTAGATCCGATAAGAGGCAAGGCTTTGTGGGCGGACATCAAAAATAAAGGAAACTTTAATCACAATCTTAGATTGCATGAAGGAAAGGCAATGTGAATAACTATGTTCCATGTGTAGATTGCCTGGGCTACTTTAACACAGAAACTCTCTATCTACATGCTAAGAAGTGCCCCAAAAACAGCCAACTTCTAAACAGGTAAAGCATGTTAAAAGAGCTTGATTGCTTTTACCGATAAACCACAAATCTGAAAAAAAATAAGAGCTTATTTATTGTAAATACCATGCGACGTGGTCAATTAACACTTGTTGTTAGAGGAGATAAGGGCATACTAAAAGTTGGTGAAGATACAATAGAGAC